TTTTTTGGACTCTTCAGCTCAAATTTTGGTTTTTCTATATTATTTTTTGGTTTAGACTTTTTTTATTTGAAGATTCATCTTGGTAATGGCAGATCGATAGTTTTTTGGTATGATGTGTGGATTAATGAATCAACCTTAAAATCACAATTTCCACGAATTTTTGCCTTATCGGTTAATAAGAGGGGACAGTAGCTGAGTTTGGTGGTTTTAAGCAGAATGTTTGGGTATGGAACATTCAGTTAAGAAGGTATTTACTTGATTGGGAACTGGATCAGTGGATTGCATTAATGTCCTTGATTGAAAATGTAACTTTGTCGGATTTTGTGGATGACTTTCTTGGGTGGTCGGGGAAAGGAGATGGTCTATTTTCGGTCAAGTCATGTAGGATGTCTTTTTGTAGCAGTTCAGAAGCTACGTTCGAGTGGAATAAGTGGGTTTGGAATGGTTTGGCTCCTCCAAGAGTGGAAACGTTTCTTTGGCAGCTTTGTCATGGTAAAGTGGCAGTTAGAGAGGAGTTGAAGAAGAGAGGTATTCCTGTGGAAGACGGTCTTTGTCCACTGTGTCATTTGCACGAGGAATCTGTCGGACACCTTTTCTTCTCTTGTGTGGTTGTAGGGGAGTTATGGACCAAATTCCTTAGGCTATGGGAAATTTCTACTGCTCTATCTCAAGACCCCATTTCAATTCTAGGCTCTTGGTCGTTTCTAAGGAAGAATTCTTGTATTTGGAAGTTCATCCCGCGGGTTGTCTTATGGTCAATATGGAAGGTTAGGAATTTGGTTGTTTTTGAAAATTGGAAGGTCGACACTTCTTCTTTGTTCTTCCTCACCAGATTTAGATTGGCAAAATGGTTTTTAGCTAAATACCCTTTGGTTCGTATCAACTCGGATATCTTAGTTGGGGACCCTATAATTGCTGATAAGTGTCAGTATTCTCATGTTCTGGAGAAGACTATTTGTTGGACTCCACCGCCGCTAGATATGTTCAAACTAAACGTTGATGGGGCGGTAAGAGGGGATAGGTTGTAAGGTGGTATTGGTGGTATTTTGAAAGATTCTAACGCTATTACCTTAGCCACTTTCTCAATACCGGTAGGGCCTGGAACTCCTACTTTAGCAGAGTTGAAAGCTATTAAGGAAGGGATTGTGTTTTTCTTTTCATCGAAATGGGCTAACAAGGGGAAATTAATTATTGAAAGTGACTGTAAATCAGCAGTGGACTGGACTTCTAATCAGAACACTACACCAGTTTTTTTTAGTTCTATGGTGGAGGAAATTGGGGCATCCATTTCGGCTAAGGATATTGTTCTGAGATGGATTCCTAGAAGTTGCAATGTGGAAGCTGACAAGCTAGCTAAGGAGGGGATTGGTTGATTGCTTAAAGTATAGTGTGTGAATGTTTCGTGTTGGTTTCCTGGAGTTTAGTGTGTCACTTTTTAGTAGAGGTGCTAGATCGGTTCAGGCCAGAAAGAGTAGAGGCCTTTATTGAGTTGTACAGGGCTGTTTGGGTAGTTTTTCGTGTTTGGTTTTTTGGGAAATATCCCTTGGTTGTATTTTATGTAATTTATTATGGTTTAATAAATTTTAAGGCACTTTTTTCTCTCTTCCGCTGATTGAGGAGCTTCTTTAAAAGTTCTTTCAATCAAGAAGGGGGTTTTTAATGAGTCCTTCTATTTCTATCAAAAAAATAATTATTATATAGTGTTTGTAATTTATTTTCATTATTTGAAATAAAAAAATTATTTTCCATTATAAAAAATAAAATTTAGTTGTAAATTAAATAAAAATTGAAGTCGGTTTCGTTCGGGTAACCACTGTTTTTAAACTTGTATCCTATAAACAGTCCAAACATTTCTGTTAGGTTCGGTTGTCTGTTTGGTTGGGTTTTTTGCTCAGCCCTACTGATGCCTTAAGACCTTTCATTAGTTTAGATATAATGTGATACAGAAATTTTATTGTGATACTAATCTGCAGAAAAAGAGAAAGTTCTATGTTACAGCACTTATTATTCCAAAACAGGAATCAACATCCGACTCGGTATGGTTGTCTCATTTAGGATTATCTAACTTCAAATTTCTGTCATCGATCAAAATTTCTCTCTTTTACTCTTATTTAGCAGGTTATGTGATTCCTTTTATTGCACTTCCTTTTTATCAGTGCCAAACAACAAATGAGGAGGAAATATTTGATGTACAGGATAAGAAATCTCTATTCCCCCTGGGGTGGATTCATGTAAGTTTTCAATAATTTACTCCCTTGACCTCGTATTTAAACATCTGCTCGGTTACAACAAATGGATTGGTACCTTAATGCTAACTTGAACAAAATTTCGAACTCAATTGTTAAATGTCTTGAGTTGGAACATAGGTGAGATCTGCACATTTTTGTTGATGAGTGAATTTGATAACCTATTTTTTCTTGGAAAGGCTTGATGGACCCTTGTTTATTTTTCCTAAGTTCTCTATTCTTGGAAGCTATTTATATTTTACAAAGTAGGCGCTGCTTGGATGACAATTCATACATAATCTAAAAATGTATACTTTTGCAAAATGTTTTTTCATGAGTGCACAAGTGAGCTTTTGATGATTGTTTAGGGTAAGACTAACGTGAAATTCTACTATGACCATGATGATTTCCATCCCGCAAAGAAGGCTTGGTTGGACCTTTATTTGTAGTCAACAAAAAGAAATAGATAAAGCCAACCAAGCCCAACTGAAACAAAAGAGACTCAGCTTTCCTGGGCTGCCTTGGCACTATTCAACTCTTAATTTTCTTGTAAGAAATCATCATTCTAAACTTCAAATTTGAAGATAATAGCTATAACATAATAAGTGTCAATAAAATGAGTAAAAAATCTTCTAATGATGTCTATCAACATCTACTATTATAAATGTTATTTTTTTTAAATATAATGTCATATTATGTGGTCAACACGGTAACATGATGTGCAATCAATTAAATATGTGAAACATGTCATAATTGAGGTAAGCGTATTTAAAAGGTTTAAGACATGAAAATTGTAGTACCTTAAACATGCCAGCACTATCAAAATATGATTGTTGAACCCAAATATGGTTTATTCTGTTGTGTTTCTTTCTGACATTACCAGGGGTATGGTAAACAAATGAAATCTGTCTTTGTTTCCACGCTCATTTAATCAAGATCTTTTGTCCTAGATATGTGTATACTGTATAGGACACCATACATTGCAAGACAGTTGCCAAATATGTTCCTTTTTCATAATTTGCCAATTTTTTTATGTTTGAGGGGGTGGCTAATAATATGTTTGAATCCCCAGACACATCCTACACAATCATGTTTCATGTCATCAATTGATCTTCACACCCACTACTCATACCAGGGATGTGCCTCTTTGTATCAGTATAAAACTAGTGCCCGTTATAAATTGAGCCATTTGTAATTTTTTTGTTTTAATTTCATTTAGGTGACTGCTAATGTCATTTTGGCATTAATTTAAAGGATAAATACACAAATAGTTACCCATCTTTGGTTGACATCAAGCAATTATGAAATTTAATTTTAGTTTGTAACATTTAAGTTTTTATGGTCACTCAACTGTTAGTATCTAATGAATTCATGTCGGAGTATGTACGTATAATTTTGGTGACATGGCATGTTCATGTCATAAAAATGACATACTGTGTGCGGCAGTAAAATAAATATCTTTTCCCTTTCCACTTTCTCTTCTTTCCATGATAGAATTTTCTTTCTTTTCGTGTTTTCTTTCTCCGTCCCAAAAGTCTTACTCTTGTTCTTCACACTAACCTAAAATTCAGAGTTTGTTGTACACAAATATGATAATTTTTATTTTAGCATTTCCTTATTGTTCTTTAAACATTCTGAGATGATTATTTTTGCATCTCTAGATTATGTTGCCGGAATCTGTAGCAATCGTAATGGCACCAAGAGATTCTTCGAGGTGAGAAGCATATTACGATATGATTAATTAAATCTTTATGCTTTTCTATATGTTCAGTTATTGTTAACATTTCATCATTCCAAGTGCAGAAAACATGGCATTTTCCGTTTGACAACTCCGGGTGGTATGTCTGTCATCCGGCAGTGCCAGAAACGTGGCTTTCATCCACATGTTCAACCTCCTCATGGTGGACCCATTTACAATGCCTGTACAGATGTGTATATGAATCCCGATTTGAACTTTGACGTCATTGATCTTCGATGATCACAACCATGGCATCTCGAGGAACATGTGCAATGGTTGATTTCTACCATTACCAAATTTGCAATAAGAGTTGCAGTTAAGTGTAAAAAGAAGATGCGTGTTTAAAAGGAAAGGAGACATTTAAGAAACACTGTGTACAAGTAATTTGTATTCAACAAGAGAGTTTCTGATTCATTTGAAGTTGAATTGGAGTTTTTCTAACCCTGATTTTCTTTTAGATGTATATGCTCTTCTCTCTTCGGAAATCGTTTCTAAACTTGAGAGCAATAAAGGATAAACGTTCTCAAGGATAATTTGGTGCATGTGTCAATTTTGCGGGTGAATGCAATCAGTATAGGTTTCGGTAATATAGTCCCGCATGTGCCAAGAGGAAGGTCAGTAGGCAATAGCCTTTTTTTATATATATAGACAATTAGTCAGTTCCTCTTTTAGATTGAATAGTTGAATCACTAATGACCTGTGGAATTCGATTTTTGTGTGTTCGTTTATTCGCTGAAGATGAGTTGACTGTCCACTGTAAAAGAAAAACCAAACATTACTTGCTCGTAATTTCCTTTAGTGGCTGAAAATTCTCATGCTGGATTCAACAGAATTGAAAGTAAATTTGCATATAAACCATAGTAACGGGAACAATAAAGGTCACGAAGATCATTCTAGAGAATCAAGTCGATTAAATAGTCGGGGTTATAAAACAGTATGATCTGCGTTCCTCTATTGTTATAGCTCATGTTGACGAACTGAAGGAAAGCAGTAAATCCAAGTTATTATCAAGAATGGATATATTTTATGCGATTGATGAGCTTCATACATACAAACCGGAGGAATCATAATTATGGAACAGTGTATAGACTAACTGGTCCCTTAATTTTTTTCTTAAACACGCTGCACCTTTTTTATAACTGAATCAAGATAAATAGCAGAAGTCTTGAACATATCTAACTTTTCAACGTCTATCAGCGTCCGGATGCTCTTTGACAAGCCCCAAAGAAAGCAACAAAAAAAAAAAACCCAAGGTTGGGCCAAAAGGACTCATTGCTTGTGTATTATTCGTAGTGAAGGAAAGGAAAGTAGCTATAATTGGGGTGAAGAAAACATAATTGCCTATACAAAGTTATTTACAAACTAACATCTATACATCTTTGGGAAAAGAAGCGAAACCTCTCATTGTTGTGCGGAAGTGGTCTGATGTTGGCGCCTGGGACTTGATCACTCGAGTGTTGTATGATCCACAATATCCACATTTGTGATACAGCCAATGGAACCGAGCCTTGCCCTTTTGGTCGCAATCGTTGCAGAGTATATCCTGTGGATTGCATATGCCTTTGATGTGAGCAAATTAATGTCGTATAAAGATATTGGTTAAGATAAAATCCGGAACTTAGTCCAGTTAGTTCATTCTGTAGTTTTAAACGGTAACATCCACAAACTCTAGAATACGAATCTTAATATCTATACACTTTTCTTTCATATTCTTAACCAGCAATTGTAAAAAGTTTTCACAAGCGATTCATCTATCAACCTGAAATGAACTTTTTTTCCCCAAATAAATGAATTCCTGCCGACTGTGTCTTAGCTTGGTTGGCATTGTTGTTGTTGCAATAGGACATGGGTTCAAGCATTGTCCTACTATTTATGGGTTAGGAGTGGTCTAGGTAGTTTAGGTATTGTATTCAAATAAATGAATTCATACTATCCTCTCTAAAAGGTATTAGGAAAAAACAGATGAAGAAATCACTTCCTTTCATTCTGCAATTAGTTTTCACGTTCAATTCTTTTTATGAACATTTACTGATATCATATATTGATATATTCACCGTATATAGAAGCCCTAAGAAACTAGGGTGCAAGAAAGTTCTTTTACCGCCATATCTCCCAAGGATTTACTGCAGAGTGGACAGGTGTAATGACTGCAAGTATATGCCTAACAAAGAAAAAGAATGTGAGGTTAGCAAAGAACCAATTCTCCAGTATTCCTTCACAGGATAATTATACATAAAGGAAACAGAGAAATGAAAATGGGTATGGGGAATACGAGCTAAGGAAAGCCAAGAACCTGAAAACAAGCTGAATGCATGTAATGGCCGCAAGGTAAAGCTCTGACTGGAGCACTTGATGTGAACAAAAAATCACAACAGATAAGGCAATTCGATTCTAAACTTTTCTCCAGGCACTTGTGATTCACTAACTTTGTCCCGAGGCAACAATTGCATGTCATGCAATGAAAAAAATCAATACCAAGTCCTTTCCCAACACGGCATAGATTGCAAAATGGACAATGATAACATTCCTGCAGCAGAAGAAGATTAGGATAGACCAAGGATAAGCACCATCTCTTCCACTGAAAACCTAAGCCAATTGATTGTTCTTTAGTATTTCCAAATTAATGAAGGCAGAAGAGAAAGTCGTGGTATTATCAGATTGGAGTGCAATGCAAAGGCTTTTACAGTTTATGGGTGCTAAGGGAAAGGAAAGGAGAAAATTGTGGACAACTATGTTTCTGGGACTGAGGTACAAGTATCAGAAACCAACATTGGCATCTTCAATTTGAAAAAGTTTTTCTAGATATTTGGAGGATCTTTAGAGGGACATCCAAATACTCAAATCTAAAGATGTGTCAGATGCGGCTTCTGGATACACGTACTTCAAGCCAAAATAAAGAGACAATGCAACACAGCTGGACAGAAAAATAAGAAATACAGAACAATTTACGAATTCGCTGAAGAGAAAATGAAGACGGAAACAGGAAGAATCTTGCATCTTTCCAGACTAAAGAAATAACTCCTCATATTGCCTCAGGCGCTATAACGGTTTTAAGGTTGTAATGCTACTATAACTTTGCTTCCCATGGGAGAAATTGAAGACGAAAACAGGAAGAATCTTGCATCTTTCCAGATTAAAGAAATAACTCCTCATATTGCCTCAGGCGCTATAACGGTGTTTAAGGTTGTTATGCTACTATAACTTTGCTTCCCATGGATCTATATACTCTATTGTCAGCCTGGAATGACCTTGTTCCGAATTCACGTATCTGGTCTCTTATTCCAGGAGTTACTGTTGGGTCAATCTGGAAATTTAGAAATTCTGTTGTCTCTGAGAATGGGACTGCTGATGTTTCACACCTCTTTTTCCTTTCGAGATTTCGCCTTGCATCCTGGTTTCCAGCTAAGCACCCTCAATCTATGATTCCTATAGATTCCTTGATTGGTGATCCATCTTTAGCAGATTCCTGTACTGTTACAAGGAGGTTACATCAGTCCTTAGAGGCATCATGGTCCTGGTCACCTCCACCGGCTGGTTTCCTAAAGATGAACGTGGATGGAGCTGTGAATAGGGACTGGAGTAAGCGTGGTATTGGGGGTTTGATGAGGGACTCTAGTGGCCGGATAATCGAATCTTTCTCGGAACCCATTGGACCAGTCCCCCGGCTTTGGCTGAACTAAAGGCAGTCAAAGATGGTCTCTCTCTTTTCTCGAGGTCTAACAACTGGTGTTTGGTTAAGAATCTTTCAGTGTACCCTCCATTTTATGAAACAATTGTTAAAGAGATCGCTTCGGCAGTTACTATGGATGAAATCCTCCTAAGGGTTGTTAATAGAAGTGCAAATTGGGAAGCGGGTGAATTAGCTAAAATGGGGATAGGGTAACTATAGGGTAGTTTGTGATGTATCTTGGTTTGTTACAGATATGGTTGTTAAGGTTTTGATAATTGGTGACTGTAATTTTGGGGTGATTTTAGCCCTTTTATCAATAAAATTTTGAGGTACTCTTTTCCTCCTTCCACTTTTTTGCTAAATACCTTTTTTGGTGTTCGGCAATTATGAAGGGATCAAAAAAAAAAACTTTGCTTACCATTCTAGGCATCATAAAGTCATGTCATTGGACACACTGGTGCCAATGCCCATGATTTCATGTAAAACGTAACTGATATGAGAGCAAAATGGTTATTGGTCATCAAAAAGGGTAATAGAGATGTCATAAACACAACATAGGGGTTTCTAAGAGCTTCAATAAAGGGGATTAAAAAATAATCAGCTGATCTTCAAAAGGATAAATGTGGTTTAAAACAAATTAAAAGGTAATCACAGGCTCTAGAGTTGAATATCTGAGATGATGAGAAGAGTTAAAATTAAATTCAGACGGAGGAAAGATGTTTGCTGCAAGTTGAAAAGTGCCAAGAAGGGCATATACCTTTCATCATCGAAAAACTTGCATATACTACAATAATACTTTGCCATTGAAAGTCCATTGCACGAAGGTGTAGCACAAATTGGCCCAACAGGTTGAATCTTGAGGCATCTCATGCACATCATCTCTAAGGTTGCTTTCCTGAAATGTTAGAGAAAAAAAGAATCATACGTACAGAACTCTAAACTCAAATTAAAGAAATTTATTTGAACTTACCTATCCATCGAATGATCGCTCACTTTGTCATGGCAAAATCTGCAAACAAACAACTTCCCACAGCAAGCGGCACGGAGTTTGCAGTTTCTTTTATAGTGTTCACACCCAAATATTTGTTTTCTGGATCACGAAATGATGGGGAACATCCCAACACATCTTCACCGTTAAATGCTTCGGTAGATTCTGCTTGGGGCAACTTCTGCTGAGCAGCTATCCAACGGCTAAAACAAACAATTAAGTGAATGGTTATTAAGCACTCACGTGAAAAATACAAAAAAAAAAAAAAGTTGAACCACAAAAAGGAAGCAGAAGGCTAGAACACATAATCTAATGCCACTATCCTTGGGAACCAAATACTGACAAAGGAGATTACTATCATGGAACAAACCTAGTTAAAAGGTTTTGAACAAGATATGCTTTTCTCCTAGGATCCAGAGTTGAGTCCCGATAAACCTTTCTGATCTCTGATTCGAGCTCATTTTGATTCATTCGGAAAATATCTTTCCACCCAGGCTTAAACATTTGATCACATTGTTCCAGGCTGTCTTGAAAATCATTATCTAGTGCAGAATATTGGAGAAATAATTAAACTGTTCCATGCAACAATGTTCAAACCAAATGCATGTTATTACCAAATACCTTTTAGAGAAATTCAAGTTTTTGATATTTCATTCTGCAAGGGCGATTCAGAAGGCTTTTTCCAGCATTCATTAAGCCACTCATTGAACATTGTG